TGGCCGTGGTATACGACTATCAGTTTCAAACTTCAGTCAATAATCTCAGAACTCCGTCGCGAGTGCAGTGGAGCCTCAATATCGGGAGCAAGTTTCATCCTGAAGCAAACTTTCCAATCCTCCGATAACTAAATCGAGTCAGTTTTCTCTTGATGACAATTGGAGCGCAGAGAGCTATTCGATTGAATCAATTAACACGATCTACTCTATGCATAAATTCAAGAAGATAACGTCACAGATGCGGTAGTGAGAATGGAAAAAATTATCGATTGTGATACCTCTTGAGCTTAAAAATTATGAGATTTTTCGATAGCTCTTTTGTAAGCAAACGAACGTCTTAAGAATTGCACGAAGAAATAATTGAGGAAAAATTTGCTGAAAAATGCAAGAGAAATTATTTAATTTTTGTTTCTCTCTGTTAACAATTTTTGACTGACATGTGCAGTAAACGCCAATTTTTTATTTGATTCTAAGGGACCATTTATTTGATTCGAAAAAAGTTTAGTTCAATGAAATAAATCATTTTATCACATCGCAATAATATTATCATTGACCTCTCCAGCGCGGTATTTAAAAAATCGTTCCTATTTGTAGTTCAGTTATAGAGGTTATGAAAACATGCAGAAGCTAATCTGGGGAGATAAGTATCATGAGTCATAGTTTCCTTACTTCTATCTCGAAATTTATTAAAAATTAATATATGATGATCAAATTTTATTCTACGTTAGCGAAATTTGATCTTGATAAAAATAAAAATTAACGTGCCGGTAGGGTAAAAATTACTGTACAGGTAGGGTAAAATTTATTATGGGTCAGGATAAAATTTCTCTAACGTAGAACAAAAAATTTGATCATCATATATTAATTATTATGATTATTATTATTATTATTATTAATTTTCACCAAATTTCGGGATAGAAATGAGGAAACGATGACTCATGATACACTTTTATAGAACGGTAAGATAATTTTTACTAAAAATTTCTCTCCGTGTACACTGGTAAAACGATTGAGTCACTGTCCACGAGGCTTGTTGTTATTAACGTAATTAGCATCAAGGAGGTAACGAGTAACGTTGCATGGAGTGAATAATAACAGCCCCTCAGTGCAGTTGCCAATGAGTAGTGTAGAATAAACATTTTTGAATGCTTCACAGTGTCCATGAAGTAACAAACACCGCCTCCTGTTTCAATTGAAAACTCGATGTTAATTCTACTCTGAAATTCGGTTGATTTTAACCCAAAATATTTCCCTCCGTACACCGTGGATTTGACGGTTTCGTGAGAGTCGTCCGTTTAACTATCGTAAATCAAATACTCGTGACTAATGAAATTTCACTAGTAGGAACACCGAGTAGAGGACGAGTTCGTGTTCAGAATTTCAATAATGAGAGAGAAAATTGCAGTATGAAAAGAGGAATAATAACAAGGTACAACTTTTCAGTAGAACCAACACTGCTTTTCTGATGGAAGTATTCTCGTTATTTGTTCATATTTCACGATTCTCCGTATTTGTTGAATTTTTTTCAGTTGAAATCGATTGGTAGAAACGAATCCTCTGACCGTTTCACAACGTGTAATATTCATTAGTGTAATTCTAATTGGATTTTCCCGAAATACTATGTAAAAATTTGAGTAGACAATGAAACGAGAAAAAAAATTTGGGATGAAACTAGATATGGATCGACTTTTCTACATAATTTCATCATTTTGCGGATTGAAAAATGCCCGAAGACGCATTTTAGTACGTGTCAAGGTAATTGTTACTACATTTTTGAACAGTAATCATTCTTTTTCTCTTCTCACGGGATACCGTAGGTCTCCATAAAATTTAACTCGTAAGAGCAGCGGTTGGAGAAAGAGTTCGCGGTTAGAATCGCAGTGATGAGATGGAAAATTCTGGGGTCAACACAGAAATATCACAAATAATTTTACAGTGAAATCAACACTGGCTCTTTGATGGAAATATATTCTCGCATTTGTTGCATATTTTTTCATCCCCAACATTTGCTTCAATTTATTTCAGTTTAAATCGCCGTGCAGAAATTAATCCTCTGACATTCCCGTAACGCGAAACATTCATCAGATTACATAGAATTCGACAAATATGTAGCATTGCAAATCCTATTACCTTTGACTCGAAATTTCTCTTTGACTCTAAATTACCAATATAATCCGTATATATGAGTTTTCATCGCATTTGAAGTCGAGAACAAAATTCCAAAATAGTATATTAGGCACTTCAGCTTTTATCCTTATCGTTGAACCCCACCCTTCCTTCGTCTTTACTCCTCTTTCGTCTAAATTTATTTCAGTTTAAATCGTCGAGCAGAAATTAATCTGACGTTCCCATAACGCGAAACAGCATATTTAACATCACATTGTTCAAACAATTTGGCTGAATTTTCGGGAAAAATATGTTGAATTCGATTTAAGAAGGAAAAGTCAGTGGAATTTCAAGCTTCTCTGAAAATTCAAGTAAAGTCCCATTTTTTTAACGGCAGGAAAACGAATATTCCACAATGTACATGAATTTTCAAGTGAAAATGAATATTCACTGCCAAATTCCCTTTAATTTGCAGCGAAATCTCTTAAAAATCTTGGAATTCCCGGAATTTTTGACGGAACTCCCTGAAAACTCAGAGGAATCTGGAATGCAAGGAGAGGTTTCTCTGAATTTTTCCAATTTATCATCAATTTCCCCGAAATAATTGAACCGAAATTTACAGTTCCCACGCGTTTCTGCACGAATTCATGAATTATTAATGACAAAATTCCTTGAAATTTCAGTAGGAAATTATCAACAGTGCAGCTAGCCTAAAATTCAATAAATGTGTCGCATTGAATATCCTATTACCTTTGACCCTAAATTTATCTTTGACTCAAAATTACCAATACAATCATTATATATGAGGTTTCATCACACTGGGAGTCCAAAACAAAATTCCGAAATGGTATAAATGGACGTCGATTGATTGGAACGGAATTCAAATGAAATCACATATACCCCCCAATTTAATGCCCGACATTTGTCCCACAATATTAGGCACTTCATCTTCGACCCTTATCATTGAAACCCACCCCTCCTCCGTCTTGCTCCCCTGCCAGCTGGAGGCTAAGTAGGGTAACCCGAGCAATAGTCAGGCGCCTGGGAAGATTTAGTGCTCTCTGAAGGATTCGGAATTGATGGGTCACGTATATAAATGGATGATTGAGGGTACGCATGAAAAAATAGTACATGACTGCGTGCAGAAAATCAAACGCAATGTTAGAAAATTATTGTGTGGAACGTTACGTAAACTCCCGTCTTTACTGAGCATTTTGGAAGGGGGAGAATTTTTTTTAACTAACGAAGCAAAAATTCATGTTTGTCCTCCATTTTACTCGTGTCAATAGAGAATTTAACTTTCATGCTACCATTTTCCACTATACTGTTGAAAATTTTTACCTGAATTTTCCGTGCCAAATTCTGGAAATTTTTATCGGGTTCAAGTTCCACTGAAATTTCGGGAAATCTTGTCATTAAAAAATCAAATATTTCATTGATTTTCTATTCAAATCGTCTGGAAATCAATAAAATGCTTGATTTCTCAGTTCTATTATTATGTGAAAATTCAGGAAAATCAGGAAAATTCATGTTCCACTGAAAATTCAATTAAGTTGTGAAATTTCCATCTCACTCCCTCTGAAAACTCATGAATTTCCGCGAATTCTACTTAAAATTTGAAATTTCATAACCTTTTTTTTCTAAACTCGACTCTCAATTTTAACTGTGTTCAATAGTAATTTTCCAACGGACTCCATCACATTATAATTTTGTGAATCGCATTTTTTCATTCAACAGGACATAGTTTTTCGTTTGTTCTCAAAATTACTATATTAACTACTAAATTTTCTCAAATTAAAAATTACTACATTCTCACACTAAAAATAATTTTATATTCCATCCGAGTAAAAGTTGACGAAAATCAAGTAAATTCGTTGCTATACATTTTTCAAATATCAATTAATTAAAAATTCACCATAATTTGCTGCTGAATATACATGTTCTGATCGAAAATTTAACATTACGACATGCGGCTGAATAAAACCCAGCTGTCCTCTTTAGTAGTTGAAGTAAGTAGAGCCTCGTTAAAAAAACAGCTGCTCTTAAATTTCAGTTTAGAGAAACAGCGGACTTTTCATTAGCTTCTTTTAACAATCGTCAATAAAACGTGGAACGGTCTCTGTGTTGATCAGTCTCCTCATCACTCCTCAAATAACTCCCCCCTTCCCTCAGCATCTTGACACACTCCAACGGCAGTGGACATCCCCTTTCCCCTCGCGACCCGCCATCCCCACCGCTCTCCCAACTCCCTAGATTCCCCCATGAAACTCAGTTAGTCGAGAACACCCCCGACGTACAGAAAACAATTTCTCCTCGTCAGAAGAATTCCCAAGCCTTCGTCGAATAAATGAAAATTTTCAAGGGGAAATACCTCGCTAAAGTCTCTCACAAATCCCTCCCCAAAGCTAAAACAAATACCGTTAACGAGTCAACTCATGCGTATGAAACAACCGTTTAACCAAAACGTCGAAAGTGAAATATAATACGAAACTCTAAAAAAATTCCCCGAGATACCCAAAACATTCTAGTGTTGATACCACTGAATTCGAGTGCTAAAATTCCCCTGAACCTTGATTTGGCAGATATCCAGCGGACGCCCCCCGAACCGGCGAATAAAACCCCATTAATTACTCGAAGTGCAGTGAAAACTCAAATTACATTGCTGCAACAATTTCCCACAACAGTTGAACCCTTTCAAAGCCAGTGATAACGACGGCCGCCGGTTGTTACCAATGATCCCAGTAAACTGTCCAGAAACTACTGCTGTCCAATTATAAATCGCGACCATTATGAGAGATCCTCACAGCCAACTCCCCTCAACCGCTCTAACACCAGCGTCCCGAGTGAAATATCCAAACAACTGAAGGCCCGGACGTGATAATGATTATAAAGTCATGAAGAATCTTGTGCTGTTGATGATGCTGATGGGCTGGATGTGCCACTGGAGTTGTGCCCGTAGTTGGGCGTCAGTGGAGGAAACATTTAAAAATCCTTATCCCCACAGGAACAGAACACTGGATCCGTACAACTATGAATTCAAGCATCTGCCCAGAATGACGATGATTGACAGCCAGGACGAAGGGTTTATCTACCCCGAGGACTTTGTCTTTCACCATCACCTGAAGAATCCGATAACGAAGCACGGGATCAGACACAGCGAGAGATTGTTTCGATCGATCGAGATGAACTCACGGGCTAGTCAGATTGTCTGGCCAGTCAAGAAGGAAGCGGTGGTCGAGGGTGGACTGGTACTGGGTGGTCTGATGATGGTGCACGAGCGCAAGGACAATGTCACGTGTGGTCCGGTGATGCCACAGGGGGGTGTTCAAGCACTCGAGGCCATGCTCTATACCCTCGATTGGGTGAACAAACGGGAGATCATTCCTGGAGTGAAAATCGGTGCACATATCCTTGATGACTGTGATAAGGACACTTATGGATTGGAGATGGCCGTGGACTTCATAAAAGGTAGATTTTTGTGGGTTTTCATTGCATACACAGAATAGTATATTACGCAACAAGTGCGTAATGGGTTTTTTGGCTCATGGGAAGTTGTAAAACGAGCCGAAGGCGAGTTTTACAATCCCACGAGTCAAAAAACACCATTACGCACGAGTTTCGTATACTATTTTATGTCATAGGGCCCAGAATCCGCGATTCTACCGAGCGAAGCGAGCTCGCTCGCTCGGTAGAATCGCGGATTCTGGGCCCTATGACATAAAAACCTGAACGTACACGGAGAGAAATTTGTTAGAAAAATTCTAGTGCTAGCACGCGCAAAGTGACGGCCAGGAAAAAATTCCAGTGCCGGTACTAGAAATTTTATTGGGGAAAACGTGAATTTCTACCCGTATTTCTGTGAAAATTTCACAGAAATCCCTAGAAATTTTATCAGAAATACTAAGAAATTTTATCTTAACAGCACCAGAATTTTTCACAACCGGTGGATTGTAATTTTTTCCAGTACTCGTACTAGAATTTTTCTAGAAAATTTCTCTCCGTGTAAATTACGATGATTTTTTTCTTACTTTACATTTACTCATCCGTAATTATGTACATCGGTAATAGTTTTAAATAAAGCGATAGAAATGCGATGGTTCTATATCGCTCTACATTATAAAAATTCAAATCGACTTCTGGTGATTGAAAATTTGGTATTCGAAATTGAGACTCCAAAATTAGGGGTCACAAGAGTCTGAATAAGGGGCATGAGGGTCAGATTAAGGGTCAAGAGAGCCAAATTAGAGTCATTAGAGTCAGAATAAGGGTTATGAGGGTCACAATGAGGGTCATGAGGGTCAGATTAAGGATCACAATATTAAAGGTCACAAAATTCAGATTAAGGATCCAAATAAAAGTGACAGGGTCTAAATAAGGGTCACAAAATTAAAAAATTGAAAAATGATTTTCTCCTTTCATGCAAGATGGTGGACTTTTGAGAAAAATGAATAAGGTATTTGGAAAAAATAATGAGACATAATACGTCTGAAACAAAAAATCCTCGATCTTTGATGGATACAGCAAGAATATCTAAATTACATGTCTTAATGTCTTATTTTGAGGCCCTAAAAATGACGTAAATTTAGATACACAAACGTCTCAACAAAGGGGACGAGAGTGTCGCAATTTCAGACACTATTTTTTCCAGCGTGGGAAACGTTATTTAGTCGAGACAATAGAGCGTTGATGGACTCCAGTGGGAGTTGGAGTTTTTAGTTCCTCGGGGTAATTGGCAATTATTTGGACTTTGTGGTATTTTTATGTGGAATGAGGCCTTTAGGGGAGGTGAGGCTGCTCTGGATGCTTGATTGACTCTCATATGCATTCGTGTCGCCGGAGGCTGAGGTGGAAAAGGCGTTTTTATTGGGATCACGTAGAAAGTTGACGTATTGCGCTCTTGGGAGACAAAATGTCAGCAGAATTTTTTTGATTACCATCTTGGGGCCTCGGATTTTTACCAGTGAGCTCAAGTAAATCTGCTCCACCCAACTGTCTGCCCTGCAATTTACAAAACCCCCAATTAATCCCAGAAGACCCTTAAAAACTCCTTGTCTCGAACATTCAAACTCTCCATAACCAAGCAAACATCTCCAAGAAACCCTCTCACTTCCTTATTCCACCAACAATACACTTGGCCCCGCAGTTACTCGCACTTCTCAGCATTCAAATGTCCAACTTTCGAACTCAACTCAACTTCAAACGGAACTCTAAGTGCACCAGTCACTTCCTCATGCGAAACTCCCGGTCTCCATTCAGCCGTAGCCCTTCAAATGCCACGAATAGTCACTCAGAAATTCGCGCAACATCGCCCAGAAAGATGGTCAAGCTATGAGCTAAGGAAATCCGCATTTAGGGATTCTCAATCCCCCATTCTGAATATCCGATCAGAAATTCCATTTGGGAATGTCCACTGGGTTACTCGGGCGATCAAGGTAATCTTCATGGTGATCGTCCGGGCACATTGCCAAAGCATCGAATAGTTATAGAGTGGCACTTGGCTTCAGCGAGAGTGGCTTGTGATAAAAGCACCGGAACCCTCTCGCAACAAATACTATCAGCACTCGCACCCCTCTCCCTCCTTTTTCATTCGAAAAGGTCAAATGTGCGGGGAACGATCCGATTTTCTCCCTCGGGGCATAGCTTTAAGTGCATTATCGTGAAAGGAGATACAACTGGAGGAGGAGAAAAAAACGAAAAGTGAGGCACGGAATGGAGTGCGATGTATATCGGAAGTCTGGGCCACTGACCCTCTCATGATTTGGGGGCGAGTACAGCTAGAAGCTGTCTAACGCTAATGGTATTTTTTCCCTTATTTTTTCTTTCTCTTTTTGCGCAGCTACTGCGAGGTTATTATCGGTATACCAGTGGTGAGTTGATCGTAAAAATTGAACACTAACAAGATTGCTGGGCACCATGTGCAGGTGATAAAAAAATTAGACGACCGCAGTTGCCAAGTAATTTTCGATCCGCCTTATTTTGAGGGCTATCGTCTGAATTGCTATTCGTCGGCGTGTGTGCTTGCTCAATCTGCTCATCGCATTTGCGGAGGGAGGGGGGGGGGAAATGATGCGAGGGGCGAGGGAGAGACCAGTGGGATTATTAATCTTGATTAGGGGAAGGTTGAATTAAGCTGAGATTCTCTCGCTTTATTAACTTTTTTTCACGGCGGAGTGAATCACTGAGGTTCGATGGGGACTCTTGGACGGCCAATTAACCGGGTTAATTTTTTAATTTGTCGGAATATTAGACTGTGACGGGAAATGGTTTAGCGGGTGGAGATTACACTTTGAATATCCAACAATCGGGAGAAAAGGAATTGATGAATAAAGTTTTGATTTCTTGGAACGTGTCACTGCACTGTTAGAAAATTTCTACATAATTAGAAAGAGATTAGAAAGCACGATCTTTTTAGTTGCTAAAATAGATTTTATGATATTTATTCGGTAGGAATACTTTTTTCTCCTTCGCTTCAGTTTTTAAACGATCACGATAAAATCTTAAATGCACAATTTCATTCACCAACGTTACATAATTTCCATCCTGCACTTTCGAGTCGATTACCTACAGAGACATTCTCTCATTTTATTATATGGTCAAGTGGATTTTTTTGCGACAACTCCGGCTGTACACGCGACGTCGACTACAATCAATTATGAAAATTTATCGTGGTTGGGGAGTAAAAAAAATGGGGTAATTTTGTGGAAATGAGAGAAGTGTCCAGTGGTGAATGAGCAGAAAAGAACGGGGTTGCGAGAGTGAAGTGGAGGGTTACGATAAAGTGGAGAAAAATTCATTGAAATGTTCATGAATTATTGTGGGGTGTCTAGGGAGTACTCTTGAGCTAATGATCATGACTGAAAACAACTGGTACTTGTGATGAGCGACCATTCAAGATTTTTCTGAATCCAAATGGAGAATAGCACAATGGCAAATGTGTTGATTTAAAAGTGACCCTTGAGTCCCTCATCAAACTGCTGGATCCCCATTCATGACAGATATCCGATTGTCAACTCTGCACCCAAAAGAGTCATTCCCTATTTTAAGATTTCAAAGGTCTAAGATAAGATTTTCACGTCTTAATTTGAAGCCTGAAATTCTCCAGTTGCGAGTTTTGAAAGTTTCAAGTTGAGACTTTTGAAGGTTTCACTATGAGACTTTTAAGGGATATTCCAAAGGAATATCACCCAAAAGTTAGTCCCTATGTATTTCCGAAGAAAATTCTAGATGATTTGATTTATTGCATTCTCGTAAGTTATTGACGTGTGACCGCTCACCCGTATTTCTCAGGATTCGCTGAGAAATTTTTCGTTATTATACAAATATTTGATAAGAACAAGTAATTTCAACCGAAATTTTCGATTTTCTACCGTGGAAAAATCATTAAAAAAATCCAAATCATTTCCTACCGAATTCTTAAAATATTTCGACCAGAATTTGAGATTTTTCAAATTTCCCGTTGGTCCATAATTCTGTAGCGAAGTGGTCACACAGTTTCAGTCGACTTAGCTCTTAGCTGAGTTTTCTAGGAATATTTCCAAATCTAAGGAAGATAGCGAAATTTTCGTTCTAATCTTTTTTGAAGCTCTCGATGTCCTCTACCGAACAGGTCATAACAGAAATTTTGCTATCTGCCTTAGATTGCGAGATATTCATTGAAAACTCACGAATGGTCAAAATCGACTTAAACCGTTTGACCACTTCGCTACTGAATTGAATGGAGTGCGAAATATATGTTCGTTATACATTTCCACATCCATTGCGACTTTTCGATAGCAGAAAAATATCTTCATCAGTTATTATTGGCTATTTTGTCAGCCTCCGCGTTGGTGGGTAATTTCGCCCAGAGTTTGTGGGTAATGCCGTCCAGGGTTTCTATAGTGCTACTAGACTCTGCAGCTAGAGGGCGGTCGAGTGACAGCTCGATTATTTGGGGTAGTCGGTGGCCACTGGAACATCTGGTAAATTCAGGATAATTTATTATTATTCACGTGAAATCTTTCTCAAAATGGAGCCAAAGAATGGAAACGAAGGATGAAAATAGGAAAAATTATAACAGTTGGTCTGCATTGCTCAAAAGAGTCATCAAAACAAGGTGGGCGTAACTCACTGACCGATGGCAATTGAATTACATAATTAAATATGTTTAATGTTAATAAAAAATCTGTCCTCTTCACACCTTCGAGTGAACACCTCGATGAACCCATTCTAACCGTTTATGACTCCTTGTCGAGTGCGAGGCTGGAAAAAAGACTCATTTCCGTTAGATGGGTGGTACATGCGCCAGCTCTCCTAGAAAAGAAAAGGATTACAAGGGAGCAGTAGGGGGCGATGATAAAGTGAAGATTTGTTGAAATGTTGATGAATTATTGTGGTGCGTCGAGGAAGTACTTCTGGACCAATAATTCATGACTGACATTGACTGGTACTTGTGATGAGCCATGAAATAATAGCGGTCGCTTTTATGAATC